TGAGAGTTCTAGAGAAACAGTTCAAGGAAACCACAGCTGAGAGATAGCTCAGCTCTTGGCGGCTCTTAAGGCTTTATGCCATGTGATTTAACTTGACTGCTGCCCTTTTGATTACCCAAATGACCAACCTGATTTGCCTTTGTGCCTTAAATAGTGTAATGGCTATAGAGTGAGAAGATCAGGAAAGAGGCCTCTTTTGTGAGTTCGTTATAACCCGGTGGAGATGAGCCTACCCAGTGGTTCATGTTTCAGACTCTGTCCCCAGACGAGGCAGGAACAAGAACCAAACACTGTGCTCATTCACTCTGCTTGAATGGAGGGTCCTCCTTTTTCCTTTTAGTGGATAGCACAATTTGGCGATTTGGATTGGGGCCCAGGTTCTCAGCACCTCCAGTTAGTCATCTACCTGACAGGAAATAGCACTACCGTCTGTACCCACTGTCACCTTTCCATCTGTGATAAGGAGAGTGTGCCCTGGTGTGCTTCTTCTGCTGCTGTCTGTGTCCGGGTACAGTGGTTGGCCTGTCCATATCTTTCAGTCATCCAGGACTGGACTCCTAGGGGTGTGTCGTTGCTGCTGTTGAGTCAGGCAGTTGCTTAAGCAACAGCATAAAGCATTCTAGAAAGGGGTTTGGGGGGCTGGCCTGGTGGCGCACTGCTACAGTGCGCCGCTTGGGAGCGTGGCGGCGCTCCTGCTGAGGGTTCGGATCCCACATACAGACCGGCCGCTCACTGGCTGAGCGAGGTGCGGGCGCAACACCGAGGGTTGCGATCCGTTGCCGGTCACGAAAAAAGACAAAAAGGAAGAAAAAAAAAAAAGAAAGGGATTTGGTTCTATAAGGGGAGAGAAGGGAAACCTTAAAACACTTCTGATGAAGTCGTTGGAGAATGCTCTCAAAGCCACCCGTTGGATTGTTAGTTTTAGCATGAGCTGAGATGGAAAAAGATAGGTAGGCATAGCAAAGTTTCAAACTCAACTTTAAAATTTGAGGCAGTGCAGCAAAGTGGTTAGAACTGTGTTGTCACAGTATCCAGGTTCAAACCCTTGGGAGCGATGTACGGTACAGCTGGATGACTTAGGGCAAGTCACTTTATATCTCTTCTTCCCAGTTTCATTCTCTGTACAATGGCAGTGATAACTGTGTGCCCCGAGGACAGCTGTAAGGATTGCATGAAGTAATACATTGTAAAGCTTCTGGCACCAAGGGTTAACTGCTGTTAAATAACAGGGATTAAACATACGCAGTTTTACAGCTGGGTAGTAANAGGGTTAACTGCTGTTAAATAACAGGGATTAAACATACGCAGTTTTACAGCTGGGTAGTAATTAGCCACATTTGCTGTACTCCAGGAAGGAATAGTAATTACACTGAATATTATTAGAAATCCCTCAGGACAGGCTCTTCAAACTCAAATGGAAGTGAGACCTGACCCGTCCTCTCCTGATGCAGTAGAGTTTGGTGTATGGAGTCAGTGCACTGGTTTCTGCGCATCCACTCCTGGTTAGAACTTACAGGAGTAACTCAGCTTCTTTGAGTACAGTTTCTTCATTGTATGAAGTCAGTGTGCATTTTGCTAGGTGGTCGTGGAGCTTGAATAAAATAGTAATATACTTGTATATGAAACAATGATATTGTGCCTGGCCCACAAAAGCAACTGAAGAAAAGAGAGCCGCCACCATCTTTGATAATGGCATCATCATCAAAGTATCTACCTTTTCCCAAAAATAATGGGGGGGTCATTGGTGTCACTCTCCCATTGGGTAATTTTTCTTTACGCTCTCTGTGAAAATTGAGACAAGGTTCTCAAACTACTAAGAACTGCAAAGAATGAAGGACAGCTCATAAACTCGCAGCAATGACAGTAGAGTCGAGTCTGTGCTTTTGACTGTCAGAATCTAACGGCCTCCAGTTGTCCCCACCGTTGACTGACTTTCCCATTGTCATCTCACTTGTACCCTGACAAGCGTCTCTACTGCCACAGTAACCCAGCTTACCTCAGATGCAGCCTGCCTGTGTCTGCCATCTGAGCCACACTCCTTTCATGGGATGACTTACCATTTGCTTCTGCAAAAACTTGTCAAAAAACCTCCCTCAGACTCTTCAGAACAAAACCATGTGGCTCCCTTCCTTCCAGGGACCATTGATATTTTACACTGATGTATTTTCTGTAGCTTGTGTTTTCCCGTTTTCAAATAGTAAAGTCCTTAATTACCAAGATTCTTTCCTACTACCTATGTGAAAAAAAATGTGGTATGCTTTCCATTTTTGTGGGTAGTTGATAAATATTTATGGGTATTTGAGGTTTTAAAGTTTCTTTTATTTAAGAACAGTGTATGAAAATTGAACTTTTTAAGTAAGAAGAAAAATAGTTCATCACTCCACTACCCTGACAAAACTTTCATATTTTTGTATTCCTTTGTCTTTGTTTATGTGAATATATACAACTTTGCACTGAATTTTTTTTTATTAAGGTGTGATTGACGTACAATGGAGTGCTTATTGTTCACCTTACACA